AGAATGATGAAGGCAATGAATGTACAAATGCGCTTTACACAATTGATGTATGTATGGATTGTGATAAGAGTTATATGAGCCCCTAATAAAATGATTTTAAAAAAAAAAAGGTAGGACTCTGGGGAACTGAGAGCCACTGACTGCCTGTTGGATAGAAACCTCAGTTTAGATTTTTTTTTATTTTAATAAAGAGTTCAAAAATAAAAAATGAAAAAAGAAATAGATTTGTGCTTACACTTTAGCCTAGCTCCAATCTAAGAACAATTTGTTCTCACGAAATGGCTCTTCTTGATACACACTCTCATGAAAGAAACAGGAAGATATGGATGCTATAGCAAAATGTGATAAAGAAACTAGATGGTTCCCAGCTATCAGAAAAAATAGCGTCTGGGATCTTATAAGTGAGAGGTCAACTAAACCCATATGGAAGAAGCACACCAACATTTGTGAACCAAGGATTGTACATCATACATATCTGAACGAGGGAATGGTAGTAGACTTTAAATTGTGAAATTCTGGTGCAGAGGCTATGATTGACAGTGGCAGCCCAAAATACATTTGTGGGATCTACACATGGAATAAGCTTCTGCTGATTTCCCTCTGACCATAATTGAGGAATGAGAATAACCTTGTTATAAGATACCTTATTGTAGAGATGATAATGGTAGATTGAAATAAAACAATCAGAATTGGATGATTAAAACATTTGATCTTCCTTTTAACACAACTCTGAATTTGATCAAGTTTTTTATTTTCAACTGGGGTTTAGCTCTGTTGTATTTTGTTATTGTTGGTAACCTTATTGATGCTCTGTTATGTATTTTCTGTTTTATTTGAAATCCAGGATGGGTGACCCTAGAGAGACAATATCTAGATTAAGGCTTCCAGGGTGGGTGCATCAGGAGAGGTGGGAGTTATAGGGATCTATTATCAAGGAATAAAAGAAGGAAGAAATGTTTTGAAACTGGTTGTAATATCACTTGTACAACACTTCTCGGTATGACTAACTATTAAATGGTATGGTGTCTAGAGTATGCCCTAATAAAGTGGTTTGAAAATAAAATATACTTCAACAAACTCAGAGAATATTGAACAATCATTACCTGAGAAGGTACTGTATAAATTTCAGGTTCTTAGAACTGTACTTTGGTAACATAAAGTAGGTTTATATAATATTAAATATTTGTTTACCTTGCTCAATATAAATCTTAAGAGACAACTCTAATCAGTTCTAATAGGTTAATGGACTTTTTAGAAATTATTCTAAAATATTTTTTCCCCCAGTGAAATAGTTTGGGAGTGTGGGAATAAGTCTATTGAGCAATTAAGCAGACTTTCCCAAATGGAAAACAACATGATACATGACAGATAGATACATAGATAGATAGACAGCTGATAGATAGATAGAAACATATTGCATTTACAAGAAACTTTAGGAAAATATATACAAAGGTCAGGTGGAAATTAGAGTGGTTGACTGCATTTCATTTGTACATTATATTTTTTAAATGATTAACAGAGTACCAATCCATTAGAAAAAAAGTTGCATGAAAAAACACTGTCCCTATAGTGTCAACCTATCTGGTAAAAAGGACAATGGAGAGCATGAATGCATATCCAAATTAATATCACTACTGTGCTGACTAGTAACAAGAGATAATGGAATCAGAAACCAAGATATATATATATTTGCCTGTATCAATTTATTTATTTTTCTTACAAGTGTTAATTTACCTGTGGCTAATTACCTTAGAAGAAATTAAACTAACCTTTTTCAGAACTATTAGATGACTGGCATACAATATTCTATAAAAACACAAATGATAGCACATAAGAACAAGTCACACTGGAGATAGTATCACAGTAGAGAAATACAGAAGTACCATCACACCTCAGCTCCATCCTTACACTAGGACACACGCTTCTGCATTACCTGCCCTCTCTCGTGAAGACTTCGTGTTGTAGATAGAATAAACATTATGTTTGTTGAGATGGGTTTCCAAAAATGCTACTGGAAAGGCACCAGAAAAGGCGGCCAGACATTCTCCTAATGCAGAGCGTTGCCTAGAAGTAGAAAATGTTTACTTTTTAAAGTTTCCAAGGGAATAAATAAAGAAGTTATATTAAAATTTCTATTTCAATTTAAATGCAACAGGGAAAAAACAATATTGCTTCTAATAAAATTAACCCCCTAAATGACACCAAATCACATCAAGAAAAATACATAAGAAAATGGTATCAATAACAACAAACTATCACTTATTAAGTTATATTACAAATAACTATAATTATAGCAATGTAGTTGTGACTTAATCACTAAAATAGATCATAATACCAATTATTTTTTGACTTTTGGTGCAGATCAAGTGTAAAAAATAAAGTAATAGAGTAGAATAGAAATTATCTAAACACAAGATGGTCAATGTTTTACCTTAGCACAGGACAAAGATTTTTGCTTAAATCTATAGATTAAATGCATATTTAATAAATTACTTTTTTACAAATGGTGGATACTTTAAAAATATTGTTTTGATTCCTACATTCAACCAAAGAAAAACAAAGAATTTAGATACTCATCTAGTGCATTCCCTTTTTATCAGAGATGATCCTTAACACTCTCCTCTCCTCAACTTTCCCATACCTCTCTCTTCAACCACCCCTGTGGGGAATCATGACACACATGATCTTCATCGAGAAAGCAGTGTCCATCAGATACAGTCTCTCCGTATCTGATTCATTTGTTGGACAACACAACAACAAAATGCTGAGTTTGAATAATAGCTTTTCTAAAAGATATTCCTGATTACCTTACTACATCAGACCATGTTATTCCTTACATTGTCTGCAAATTCAGAGGACAAATTATAACCTTTACTATTGCATTAAATTTGTTTCTGATTTGCTTTTACTGCCAGAATAGATATAAACTCCAAGAGATATCTAGCAACTGTCATTTAATAAAAGTTTTTGAAAGAACAAAGGAATCCTAATTCTACCTTACAAATCCAGCTAGACCAGAGGATGTACACTGGTACAGATAGGAACTGGAAACACAGGGAATCCAGGACAGATGATCCCTTTAGGACCAGTGGTCAGAGTGGTGATGCCGGGAGGGTGGAGGGAAAGTAGGGTAGAAAGGGGAAACCAATTACAAAGATCTACATATAACCTCCTCCCTGGAGGACAGGCAACAGAAAAGTGGGTGAAGGGACACATCAGACAGTGTACGAAATGACAAAATAATAATAATTTATAAATTATCAAGGGTTCATGAGGGAGGGGGGAGCAGGGAGGGAGAGGAAAATGAGCTGCTACCAAGGGCTCAAGCAGAAAGCAAATGTTTTGAGAATGATGAGGGCAAGAAATGTAGAAATGTGCTTGACACACAATGGATGTATATATGGATGTGTAAGAGTTGTATGAGCCTTCAATAAAATTATTAAAAATTAAATAAAACATTTAATCCAAACCACTGAATGTATGAAAATTTCATAGAAAATATTTGAACTTTTGCTTGATAAAGGCATAGAGAAAATGTTTAAAACCATAAAATTTCAGGGGAAAACATAATATTCAGTAGTTAAAATTTTTAATTATTAAAAAATTTAAACTTTCCATGTCATAAAACACTACAAGCATATAATGTTTTAATACAGGAACTATACGGGCTTCAAAATGCTGTGAGATTTCAAAATGCACAAAAATTGAAGAAATCCCAGTCAGGAAGTAAACAGTTAAAAAAAATAGAGCCTCTAATGGTAGTCAGTCAGATTAAGTCAGATTATCAATAGAAAAAATGGAAAAAATGAGAAGAGCTAATTCATTTTTAAGGTCACCAAATAAACCTGAAAAATAATTTAACTGGTAATTAAAGAAATGCATCTAATAAAAAAATGAGATTCCATTTGAACGTTGACATATGTAAACAAAAAGTATGAAAAAAATCAGAAATCAAGATAATTAAAGATTGTTAAGTAAAATGATATTCTAAAAGTAGTTAGAAATGATACTCTAAAAATCTTTAATATAAGCACTCTTTAGAACTATAAATTCTGAGACCATAACTAGAGAAAATAAGCATAAATATACACAGAAATTTATGAACAAAGATTTAGCATTTGATGTTAATGTGCTATAAAAAAAAGTCAACTGTCCAAAATAAAATGACATTATAGACTATAATGCTTCTTTAGGATAAGATATTTTATAGCCATGATAATCATGTGTGAAATAAGTTTTTTAATTAAATGTACATTTTACAATATTGAAAATTAACCAATAATCGTTTTATCTTGCTGCACTTACCTGTTTTTAGGCAAATGTGTCACGATTTTCATTACTGTAGCTTCACAAGTTTTAATCTAACAGGCCAGATGAGGACCCTTTTTCATTACTTGACATCAAGATTTTATTGGCTAGTCTCATGGGCTTATTCTTTCAAGTCACTTTTTACAATTCGTTAAAAGCAAATTTCTATTTTTCTATTTGTATTTTATTATAATGAATTATTGACCAGTGAAGGAGAAAAGTCACACTTATTAAATATTAAATTTTCCATCAGAATTTCTTTTTATTTAGTTAATCCTTTTTAGGACATTTCTACCTTTAGTCTCTATTCCAATTTCTTACTCAAGGTGTAAGTGATCTCTTTTATTGTTAAATTCAATGGTGACATCTTAATTCACAATAGCACATCATTTTATATTGTTAATAGCTCCTCCTTTAAAATGGGAACATGAAAAAAATTAGACATTTTTTAATCATAATTTTCTATGTTAATATTTACTTGGTATTTCTGATTGAAAAACAAAAGAAACTCAACTAGCTGATTCATAACTCATAAATAGTATAAACTTAAACTTTACCATCATAGCTTTACTTATTCTGCATAACATAATTATGTTGCATTAAATTAATTCTTATTTAGCTTAAAGGTCGTGTCTAATTTATACCACAGGAATTCAGTAGGGCAATAGGGTTTAGTTTATAAAATGAACACTCCCAATTGAAACAGCTGTTGAAATCTTACCTCTCTACATAGATACTCTTGCTGGTTCCCAAAGTGTATAAGCTAGTCAAGATTCTGTAACAAGAGACTTGTACATCTTCCACTAAGGGAAAAGAGAATCTCATATAAACACACAGGAATTCTTATTTATATATTGTCCAGAGAATGTTTAAGGTGATAACTCAATTTCATACAAAAGTTATCCTAATTTTTAACATGGGAAGAAAACAAAAGATCTATACAGATAGAAAAATATAAGTAACATTTTTCTCAAATTAAGTTATTTTAAGGAATATTTATTTATTTAACCAATATTAAACCATCTTCAAAATCCACTGTGATTGTTCAGAACATTCTCAGAAACAAATTCTTTGTAACTTTTCAATAGGTATTGATACAAAATATTTCCCCAAGAATAAAATAAAGCTCAAGACTATCTGGAGAAGAGAGATTATTGTTTTTTGGTTTTAGGGTTTTTTTCTCCCAAAAGTACAATAATGAGAACACTAGTGGATATATTATATTAGTCATTTCTCAAACTATCTGACATCTAAGGTATATTATTCTAAATAAATAAATCATTGCCAATATTTGAAGCTAGACAAACAAGTAAGACTTTACAAATCATTAGGGAAGGCATGTTTAAAAGAAATCTAAGGACCTTGGATTTGTAATTCAAACTCTGCTCCCATATCTTAGAGGAAAAACCAGGAGGTGAAAGGAAAACTAATCCTTGATTCCCAGACTGATTTTATGCACATATTTGCTGTGAGCATTGCTCTTATTTGCTATAGTAAGTTTAGGGCATCCATTGAGTGCTGTACTCATTTTTACAGTTTTCAATCTCACAGTGAAGACAAAGTATCTCTTCAACAAGGCCTACAGATATTTTCATGTTTGCATCAGTAATTAGGCAGACCACGTGTTGTTTTATATCCATGTAACCTTGAGCATTCTGTGACTATTTACAGTAAATAAAGAACGCCAACTGAGAACATCTGATTAAATCATGCATGAAAATACATAGAAAGCTATACAAAGCAGTTATCTGAGTCATTCTAGTTAAACAATTCTCTATACATAGACTTTGCATCATGCTTGTATAGCGTGTGTGAACTGAATCAGAAATAACTTCAAAGCATTTCATATTGCATATTTTCAAGTTAAACTACATTAGAAAACTGATATGAAAAGAGACAGGGAAATTGTGACAGAAATAAAAAGGATAAAAAAATACAAAGAAAGAGTAAAATTTGGAATTAGTATTTCAACAATGTATAAACTAGTTTCCTTAGCGTACTTCACAGGTCCCCTCTTTTATTTCATGGAGTTCCATAATCTATCTGTATAATAGCATCTATTATGCAAATGTAAATCTGTCATTTTTACAAATATAAAGCATTTAGATGTATAGGTACTGTCCGAATAACCCAAGTCTTTTAAAATCTCTAACTTTATTACATAGACAATGAAATACTAAGTAATGGAATTACATACATATTAAATCTTCACCAAACTGATGCTGCCCAATATGCTCAAATAACGATGACAGCATTGGCAGCAGGGCCACTGTAGTATAATTGATAATCTGAGTGACGCCTTTGGGTTGGTTTCGGGTGTGTGTGAATTGGCCCTGTTTGAGGTTCTCCATGGTCTTCTCCAGGTCCTCTGCTGCATTGTCCAGAAACGTTCGCAAGGCACATTTAACACTTTCCAGACCAGTCTTCATCACAGTCCTAGGGCAGATATATGAAGAAGTCATAGCATCCTACAAATACTAGCTCTTCCTACAGTACCTGTATTTCTCAATTAGAGTATCCATTTAGTCACCTAAATCTTTGCCAGTTCAACAATTCCCACATGCACCATGCGGTTACACTGATTGCATTCTTTGTTTTATGCAGCTACCATCAGCATTCTTTTCCAAATTGCCCCAAGGCCATTAACTCAAAGCTCCCAGAGCAAAACACTCCATAACTCCCACCCCTGATAAACACTAACAAAGTTTGATTAAAATACGCCTGTTTAAAAATATTTATGGACACACATATAGTAGTTGTCTTTTTGCAACAGATTTGTGTTATTCAGCATACTGTTTTCTGGGTTGTGCCAAGCAAATCAATCTCTCTCTCTCTCTCTCTCTCTCTATATATATATATATATATATATATATATATATGCTAAATTTTGTTAATCTACTTATCTTGTGATGGCTCAATGAAATTTTTACATATATTTTTTCATTAGATTTAAAACTGCAGCAACATTGCTCTCCAACTGCACCAAACTCAAAACCTCACTACCATGGAGTTGAACCTAACTCATAGTGGTCCTATAGCACAGGGTGGCACCGCCCCTCTGGCTTTCCAAGATGTAAATCTTTATGGGAGTAGAAAGCCTCAAATTCCTCTCTTGGATCAGGTGGTAGTTTTGAACTACTATTCAACTGCTCTTGTGTATAAAATTATTTCTTATTTACATACACGTGTTTATGATTTGTTTCTTTAGTCCACCCAGACTAACACAGAAAATATATCTTATCCAAAAAAACCATTGAAGGCTGAATTTATACAGAGATGACAGCCTAACGTCACTATTTCTAACAGCTAACAAAGTTGTATAGTTGTGTCTCCTTTCTTCATTTACTATAGAAAGCATCTCAAATAAAATTACTAACATAAGAATAATCAAAGATGGTCATCTAGTGGGCTCCGCACTCAACAACTAATCACAGAGTCAGTGGTTGGAACCCAAGAACCGTGTCACAGGGGAAAGTTAAGGTTGTCTATTTACCTAACGATGTAAAGTATTTTAAACCTGACAGGGCAGTTCTACCCTGCCTCACAGGGTCATGATGAATTACAATCTACACGATGGTATTGTCTCAGAGTTTGAGTATGACTTAAAAACTAACTCAATCATGCGAAATAAACTGATTTTCCATTTAGTCAACATATTGGATTTGTGGTCATTTTTTATAATATGGCAGAGTATGTGGGAATTAATCTAGATCCACACCTATTATGCAATCTTAAACTTTAGTTATCTGAAAAAGAACAATAAAACTCTTACGTTTCCTATAAAGTTAATCTACAATGCAAATGTAGAGCTGGTATCATGACTGGATGCTAATAAGACACCCACAGTTCTGTTTCCTATTAATCCTCACAGGTTAACTCAAATCAGTTGTAGTCCTAGCTACTACAGAAATTTAAATAACAGTGCACGCATGCGCACGCACACATACGCGCACACACACAAGCACATTGTCAACTCTGAATCATAGCAAACACATAGGACAAGTAGAACTATCTCACAGGGTTTCCAAGACTGTAACCTTTATGGAAAGGAGACCCAATGCTGACACATTGTTCCCAACTGCTCAGGTGAAGAAAGTTGAAGCTATCTGTTCCCACAAAGATTCACAGTCTCAGAAATCCTGTATAGGCTTGCCATGAGTGGAATTAACTAGAAGATATAGGGATTGTTATTCTTGATTTAGAATCTTTTTGGAAGCAGATTGCCACATCCACTTACATGGTGGGTTCAAACTGCCAAACTTTTGATTAGTAACCAAGCACTTAATCTATGTGTGAAAGGTCTCCTTCACACATGATCATAAAAATAATTAGTTACCATTTTATTGTACTTTGTAAGTTTGCAAAATGTTTTATAAGTTTACAAAATGCTTTTTCCTTATCTATAGCAAAGTCTTTATCATACTTCTAAAGAATAAAAGCTAGACATTAGGTTCTTTCTTCTTAACTTTCTTATATGTTGTTGTTAGTTGCCTATGGGTCATTCTGATTCACAGCAACCTTATGTACAAAAGAACGACACACCGTCTGACTCTGCACCATCCTCACAATTGCTGTTATGTTTGAGGCCATTGTTACAGGCACCGAGTCAGTCTCTCTTGTTGAAAAACCTCCTCCTCCATCACAAAGGACTGGTCTCTCCAAAGAGTATCAGTGTGAATCTTGTCATCCTTATTCTAAGGAGGGTTCTGGCGCTACTTCTTCCAAGACAGATTTGTTTGTTCTTTTTGCAGTCCATGATGCTTTCAATATTCTTTGCTCTGGTACCTGTTGGGCTTCTCATTGCAGGGTGGTGGCTGGAGACTATCATGTGTTCTGCAGCAGAAAGTTGCGGCTTTGTACTCCCATAAAGAGTTAGAATGTGGAAACCCACTAAGGCTAGTCCACCTTGTACTATAGGGTCACTAAGAGTTGGCATTGACCTGATGACAGTGAATTTGTCTTCTGTTTTGTTTAGAAAGATGCTTACTTCTGTTTTATTGACTGTGAAGACCACCGAAAACTATGAATAATAGCCTTGGGAATAATAGGAATGTGAGAACTCTTAATTGTGTTCATGAAGAAATTGTACATGGATCAAGAAAGAGTTGTGTTCTTTCTTATATATCAATATCATATTGATTGATTTAAGAGAGCTGTAACCATGTTACCTTGCATCCAATGTCTGACCCAAAATATGAAGACAGTTGACAATTGATGTTGCATCATTTCCTAGAGAGAAAACAGCATACTATATAAGTTTCCTTGAGAATGTCTCAATATTATTTTAATCAACACCTGCCTTTTAAAAACCTGATGTCATACTCACTAATAATTCATTTAAATATTCTAATAACTGTGTTAAAAATCATGCGATTTTTCTGCTCAAAGTGGATGTAAGTAGAAAAGCAATAAAGCATGTTTCATCAATACCTATTATACTCAAGAAGCATTAAAAGCACTGCCAGGCTAAAATAACTTATAATTGAATTATTTAAATATACCCTCTTTCCCATATTAACTCATATTTAGATAGCTATGCAAACGTTTTTTTTTTCTATGCAAACTTAAAACTCAGCTCAAATCCTTAAAGAAATGAGGGAGACTGAAAAAGCTAATAAGCTTAATTCCATTTTAATTATCCCAGTGCCTCTGCTTTCTTATTGAATTCAAATAAGATAATCTTGTTTTCCTGAATATTTTTGCTCTTTGGATAAACAGAAGCACCAAAACAAAAATGTGTAGAAAAGACATCAGAGATATTAACCACTCTCATGAAATATTTTAAAATAGCAGCATATTCTTGAAAGGAAGATGAAATCCACTCATTCTTAACATTTTCTTATCAGGATATAGGTCAAATGATACAAGTACTCTATTTAATTTTTATAGGAATACTGAAAAGCAAAATGATGAATCTAAGGCAACATAATTCAAGTACTGACAATGACATTCAATATCATCTGCTCCTCAGCTATACATTCCTATGTATATAATTACTCCTGGTGCATGAAATTGATGAGTCTCCTTTTGTAATTTTAAAATAATATTATAATAGGTTATATTTTCAAACATAAATGCTTTTAAAGTATTATTAAATGACTGAATTTACTATACCCAGATTTTATAATTGCCATTGCACATGGGCAGGATAAGTTAGTGATAAAATACACATATAGAAAAATTAAGGTATTACTGAGAAAATACTTCATTTGTCTTATTCGCCAATCTCAGATTGTCTAATAAGACTGGTGACAAAATTAGCCAAAAGGCAAATATGTTATTTGTCTGGCAGCAATCCCAGTCTGAGGGCTTTTCCTAGAGCCCCTGTGTTATTTTTTTCTGTATCTAAACTACTATGCAATATATATCAAGAATTCTAAAGAGTTTAATAATATGTAGTATCCTATGATACTTGCATTTTAATGAAGGCTAGAGATAATGAACTAAATAGCAAAAATAAAATTAATGTATAATATAAGATGCCCTGGTGGTGCAGTGATTATGTGTAAGTACTCCAAACCAAACTAAAAAGTCAATGGTTCTAACTCAATCGCTGCTTTCGGGAGAAAAGACCTGGTGATCTGCTCCTAAAAAGAAAGAGTCTATAAAATATGATGGGCAATTTACTCTGTCTTCTAGAGTCACTAAGGTGCATTGGTGGTGATATGGCTTAGGTATTGGGCTGTTAACCACAATGTTGGCAGTTCAAACTCGCCAGCTACTCCAGGGCAGAAAAAGGAGGCTGTTTGTTCCTATAAAGATTTACAGTCCCAGAAACCATATATAAAGTTACTCTAAGTCAGAATTGATAACATATAGAAAAAGCACTATAATATCAGGTCAAAATTTTTAACAAAATTAGTAGAGACGAGGATTAATCTACTCCTAGGTATGTTAATGAGGGTGCCAGGAGGCTGTCTGAGAGGTGACACTGAAGCAGAGGTTCTAGCCAAATGAAGAAGAAACCAGGACAATATTTGGGAGCATAGCCCAGGGAGAGAGCAACAAGTACAAGTGCTGGAGTGCCAAACTAAACTCAGTGTTCCTGACAAGGAAGCCTGAGCAGTCCACCTGGTCTGATTAGGAGGAAAGAGGTGGATATGGTGTGGAGATTGCCCGAGGCCAGGCTCTAGAACAGGGATGGGAAACCTTTCTTTGGGCAATGGCCATTTAGACATTTATGATATTGTTCTTGGCCATACTGGGTAAACGCACCACCCACATGATGACTGGAATTGAATCTTTTTGGTGAGGTGTGTGAAGTTAGTTAGCATTGATGATTTCCTTCCATGGCCTGCAGGCTTGATATTTCCTGCCCCAGATTCTAACCAGAGTAAGCACTTTAGAATTTTGGTTTCTTTGTTCAATAGGAAGACGCTAGAAGGCTTTGAGTAGGATAGTGATATGAATTTATTCATATTTGAAAAGGATTACATCACATTGTATTAGATTGCAGCAGGGCAAGAGTGGGAGAAGAGAGATGAATTAAGAAGCTATGGCATATATCCCAAATCAGTTGATTGATGATGTTGAAATCAAGTTACAGTATTGGCATTCAATAAACCGAAAACTAAACTCCCTGTCATCGAGTCATGCGGTAAAACTGCCTCTGTGAATTTCCTAGACTATAAATCTTTACAGAAATAGAAAGTTCCGTCATCTTTCTTCGATGGCATGCCTGGTGAGTTTAAACTGCTGACCATGTAGTTAGCAGCTTAACACATACCCACTCGGCAACCAGTGCTTCTTTGGCATTGAATACTTTAAAAAAATATTGTAAAGCTTACACCCAAAAGACCTACTTATGTATTGAATGTGAACTGATAGGGAAAGAAGAGAAAAGGATTACTTGGATGCCTTTGCTGGGAGTTGAATGAATGATGAATGATGATTCCATTTAAACAAAAGGAGGCACAGACCATCATGGGGGTTAAGGGGTGGCAGTTAAAAGAACTGGGATTGGAAGATGTGCTTTGCACATGGGTAAGTGTGATCACCTACTATACATTCAAGTAGAGATGTGCAATTCTCCTGCCATTCATTCAGTTCCAACTTACAGGGACCTGTTAGGACAGAGGGGGAATTTATCTGTAGGGTTTCTGAAACTAAGTCTTCATTGGAGCAGAGAGTCTCAATATTCTCCTGTGGAGTAGCTTGGTGGTGCCCGATGCTGCACCCACTTGTAACATGCTATGCCATCAAGATTCCTTAGAAATGTAAATACAAAGTTGAAACAAAATTCTGCTGTTCAGGGGGGAAAAATAGGAGCTATAAGTTTAGATACCATTTAACATATGATTTTTAAAATTATGAGTTTGAAGCAAATCACCATGAGGAGTAGAAATATAGTAGAGGTTCTAGGGCCTCTAGTGTTTGCAGAATCTAAAAATAAAGAGGATGCAGCTCAGAAAATTATTAAGAATGCTTCTGAGGAAGAAGGGATACTGCAAGGTGTATGAATCTTTTGCAATTCCTATTTAGCATCCAGAGAGGCTGGTCCCCCAATTTCATTATCTCTGTCTAAAACTCACAGTGAATTTCTATTCTTGGCCTTCTTCTCTCCTGTCTCTTATTGTATGAGCACTTCATGCTCCGTTGACTAAAAAGCATGTTTTTCAGCCGTCATTCATATAAGCTCACTATGCCAAGCTTTTTGTTGGTTTTATTCTCTGATATGGTCTAGCACCTAGAAGATTGTCTGACGTATCACTGGACCTTACGACACTATTTCCCAGTGAAGGTGGTTGTTAGCAGGAAGAAGTAGCCCCAGTAACCAGGAAAGTTTTAAGGATCAAAATTTAAATGTGCATTGCAAATATGAGATTTCTGTAATGTTGAAGTAGCAATTTTTATGCTCTATGAGCCAACATTTCTTGGTGTGCCCATATTAGATTCAGCATAAATTTAAATAAACTATATCAATGGTGAAAAATGAACTCTAAGAATGCAAATTTTGATTTAATCTACAACATTTTAATTTATGGACCAAGTCAAAGCATTCATTCTATGAACATATTTAAGAAAATTGGTAGTCTTAAGGAAATAAAACATGTTATCATACCACCCAAACTCACTGCTGTCAAGTCTTTTCTGACTCATTGCTACCTGAGATAGGGTTTCTAAGGCGGTAACACTTGAGGGGAGCAGACAGACTCATCTTTGTCCTGAGGATGGACTGGTGGGTTTGAATTGCCATCCTAGTGATTTAACAGAACAAAGCATGGCCCAAATTGCCACCAAAGCTCCTCAGGATAATCAGAGAATACTGAGAGTGGCGTCTGAGGTAAAATATTCAGGTCTTAATTTATCTCCATGTAATTGTTCAACTACACTGAATAGTATAAACATCAAAAGTTTGATACACCAATTTAATCTCATTTCAAGGGACATTCTAATTTCATTTTCATAAACATACCTCAACCATCTATAAAAAATGCTTAAGAGTTCCAGTTGTATTTCAAAGACTGTGTGTGCAGAAGATAATGCACTTTAAATCATAGTTCATAGTTTATGCTGAATTTTAAAAAGCTGACGGGTTCTTTAAACCTTTTATTCAACAACAGACACTACCATCAAGTCAATTCTGACGTATATCAAACTGCACTCTCATAAAAATCTAAACACTAAAAAATCCCTCCAAGAAATAAACTCATTGCCACTGAGTCAATTCCAGCTCATATAGGGATCAGGGTTTCTGATGCTGTCAGTCTCTAGGGGAGCAGAACGCCTCTTATTTCCCACAGAGTGGCTAGTACAGCTGACCTTGATGTCAGCAGCTAGCAGCTTACCCAACAGCCCAACCAGGGCTTCTTAACATCAGCACAGTGAAAATACAGCGGCAGAAATGAAAAGTCTCTCTTGTCCTGTGGTCTTGGACATCAGATTGCTATCCTTCTGCAATCTGGAAAGTTACCTCACACTCGACACGTACTGTCCGAGTGGCTCTTACTTCACTTCTTGTTCACAGCATGCTTTCTTTCTTTAAGAACAACTACTATTCTGTCTGGAAATCAGACACATTGTGGATTCTCAAACTGCTGCTGGACATGGCAGTAGCAGTCACGTAATCTTCATTCTTTTTATTTTCCAGTATGACTTAAAACAATGTCGTTATATTACTTGAATTAATAATTAATTTTAAAACCATTCTTATAAATAATGTGAAATAAAGTAACACTAGAAGATAGAATTTTGTCTCTAAATTATAAAGAGAAAGGAACTGAAGTGAC